TCTTTCCCCATGGATTAGTAAGCTTTTTATAAAAGAAAGATCAACGAATGCTTAAATATTATTTTTCCAATTTTTTCCTAATTTTTAGCCTTTTTTAATTCTGCCCCATTCCTTAATTCACGTGAGAAGTGATGAAGAAAACGGTCTAATATAATGGACCATAGAACAACAGAACAGGGAATGACAGAATAAAGTAGAAAAGAAGTGAAGGAACGAAGAAAAAGCCGAGCGCTTGTAGAGGCCGTCAGACAAATAATCAGTAAACAGTTTTACAAAAAAGACAAAACCGAACGATAAGGGCAAAAAAGAAAAGAAAACTGAAAGATAAAAGTGTAGAAAAGACGAATAAATCAAAAGACATGAGAGCTAAATGAATACATTAGCACGAGGTAGTTACCTTGGCAAAAACTGCAAGTGGCTTTACAATAATATTTCAGCGAGGTGTGGTAGTCTTTATGGTTACAATAGTTTCTGTATATTTCACAGTCCATCAAGTCAGCGCATTCTTTTCCTTAAAATGGATTGAAATTCACTGGATTAATTCTTCCAACAAACCAGATCGTTAGTAGAAATATACAACTGATTTCTAGGATGAATTGGAAGAGTAAGTATGATTAACAGGTGTTTTAAGTTTCTCATTCACTTTTTTTTTTCGTTATTGTCCAGTCCAATACTCGCTCAGGCATCAGCGGCGTCAACTAAAATTTTCAGTCCATGTTCTGACTAAGAAATAGGCAAGCAACGCGTACGAAATTTAAAGTTAGACATGAACCTTCCAGACATCGAGAACAAATCCTATGCGTGGCATGGACGTTGAAGTTTGACTATCACCGAACTGTTAAGTTGATATTACAGCCGAGGACAAGACGGACCTCAATATCCATCTGTTAATCCCGGAATCTCGCTCACGACGTTATTTATATCACTGAAATATTTTAAGAGTTAAAACCCCGTAAATTGGCTCTCAATGAATATTTTTTGTAAGCAAAGAAATAAAAGAAGGAAAAAAAACGTTTAGTTTTCATACTCTTGATAAGAAAGTTACAGTGGATAAATCGATTGAAAAGTAAATATTGAAAGCGTCTAATATTTAAAATTTGTGTTTCTTGTCTGTCAATTTGCAAATTGAGCTCAAGCATTTACTAGTTAGTTTTCTTTTAATCCTTTAATCCTTTAGAGTGACCAGCATATGATTTCTCCTTACAATATCACCTCTGAATCAAACATTAAGGTCAGGAGAATGATGAAAATGATCAACAACTACAAAAACTCTTGATCGTTAAACAAATTCTCCTTGTCGGCAACTTAGGTTATGTATAGAGAACAGTATGGAGAATATGCATACTGATGTTAGGTGTAATGGGTTAAAGAGTTCGTTCAATGGGAGTATCTAAGTAACTGCGCACCTAGCTACCCCTCCCCTAACCCTAACTTGTTATCAGTTGACTGCTGTTTTGTTAGGGGAGGGGTGGGTGTGCAGCTGCTTAGATAAACATCGATCCAAAGGTTCTAACTAAAACTAAAGACGAGAATATTCCGTTTTGCTCATACTTTACCCTCCCCTCCCTCATTCGTCAATGCATTAGAACCTTACCACAATAGTTACAAGTCATTTTGCAGTTGTCCTTCAGATAACCTTTGTACGACGGATGGTTACAATAACTCTTATATGAACCGCAGTATGCACTTTCGTCCTTACATACTAAAAATGAACCAACGATAATGGTTAATATTAGAGAAACACTGTTAAATCTCTTTAAATGGGAATGGGCAAGGAAAACACATAAAGAGGACTAAACTTCAACTACAAAGGTATGCAATACGTACGCAATAAGTGCATATGTTTCTCGTCCACGCTAGAGCAGGACTGAAGCTGAATTTCCACATTCACGTTTTCGTCCACACAGCGTTTTCATATTTCCAGTTCCACTTTTTTTCAAGGTGTTCATGCGTGTTTAGTGCACGCCGTAATCTCGAGAGTGCAGAGAAAAGTGGAACAGCTTGCAACTTTAACGCACGGGCCTGCGTTTTTCGCACGTGTGGTATTGGTTTTTAAACGACGGTGGAAATTGCATACGCATGTTTTCTCTATGCAGGTCTTACGATGAAGGAAAAACTACGCGACACCGGAAATTCATCTTTAGACGCATGAAAATTCTTACAAAAACGTGAACTTGGTTTTACACACAGGGTTTGAAACACCATGCAAAACTAACAGAAGTAAACTAACCTCCTCTTTTCGTTCTCAATTTGAATTCCGTCAATTGTGTCCAGTCAACTTCGGTAACATCTAAATGATATTCAAAATGAATATTTCATTTTCCTGAAAAATTTAAAACTTGCTAAATGCTCAACCAGAAGTGATCAAGTTATTTTAAAGGAACCTCATCATATACACAACTGACTGTTATTTTTTTTTTAATTATAAATGCAAAGATTTATCAGACAGCTGTTGCCTCATGAGAGTTGATTTCGGGATTCAAAAGTAGAATTTTCTACTGATTATGAAGTTTATATTTATTACGAGTCAATAAATTGCTTATCTACAGAATGTCTCGGTATCAAATAATTTAGTTCACATTATGTTAGGGTAAGTAAAAGCGGAAGATTTTTATTCTTCTTTCGTGTTGAGCCGATGAGTATTTCGATTGCACTACTTTCTTCAACCTGGTTTCTGAGATTTTTTGTGATACCGCATATGGCCTCAACCTAAAAACGCTGGGATCTATCACATAATCGTACTAAAAACTATAATATTTGACTATCCTGATGCAGAATTCTCCGTCAAACAGAGGATTAAATGTCCCGCTGAGGTAGATGGTAGCTATTTCCCAACTACCACAGTGGAATGATTCCCAATACTGCAATGAGCCATTAATTGGACAACTTCAGTTTAGTGAGAGAAGAGCACGACCAAACGCCAGACTGTTAACTTTTTACATTAGTTTAGACAAGATTGTCACCTTTTCTGTCGCTAGTGCGACCCCAAGCGCCATGTTTGACGAGTTTGCTCAGGGTCTCTCATGATTTTAAGAGGGTAAGTTTCTAAAGAAACTGTGGTGCTGTACCGGCGGAGGAATTCCAAGATAATTTGGTTTGATTAACTGAGCTGATAATGTAAATTGGCCACCATAAAGAGTTTCGAAAGCTGACCTTAGCCCTTCTTCATAGTCGCGAAGAACGTTGATAAGGCCAAATTATCTCTGAGTATTTGCCCGGCAAAGACAAAACAATCTTTTATCAAGCCAGTCACGCATTCTGTATTACTGCAGGAGTTGAAATCTTTTTTTGTCATACTTAAATATTTCCATTATAAAATAACTTTTAGAAAAGAAAAAAAATATATTAAAAAATCATTTAAACCACAATGATTTGCTGAACACAATTTGAAAATTCTGGCTATAGACAAAATGATTTTCCTGCATCAATTTGATTTAAATGGTATCAAAACTTTACTAAGAACTTCAAGTGATAAAGTTTGTTACCTCTTATTTCTGAAAGACCTTCAAATTCGTTCCCATGTGAAACTGGAAAGAAAATGGCGAGAGCGCATAACAGAGTGATGCGTAACATTTTCCCCGTGAAAAACTTGAATTGTCTGACTCTAAAACCGAAACATAACTTTAAGACGCATACGCGTAATAGCCTGACCGTACCTGCGATCGTTGCAGCTAGGTAAATAAAAGCCGCAAAGACTTTAATATCGCACAGTGCATCCAATAAGGTTTGATTGTTATGGAAATGAAAAATCATTAATGGGTGAAATACAGATCGCTTTTCGTTTCAACAGCTGAAAGATGTCGTCAAAAACTGAATGGCTTGTTAAAAGGATATTATCAGAGCTCCTAAACATATGTATTCATAATAACATAAAAGCAAATAATTCAAATATTGAAAGATAATTTAGGTATAACAACTGAGTTGATAATGTAGATTGGCCATAGTAGAGTTTCTAAAGATGACTTTTCGAGCGCTAGCCCCTCGTTCTTCCCTCTAACGATGGGCATACACTCGCGGAAACGTTAGCTTCAGAAACTCTTTATAGCAGAAGATTTTCATTTTTAAAACAATAGGTGATGTCATAATTCCCTCGCCGACGCAGCACCACAGTTTCTCTAAAAACGTACCCCCTTTATTCATATTTATTCATATACTGTAACATTACTTAATCAGTATGGCACTATTGAAAGGTTAAAAAAATCCATATTCCACCCAACTGGAATTCTACCGACAAAGGTATCTCTTTTATATGAAAGACGTTTTGTATTTCGATCAAATGCGCATTACAAGTATAGTTCCATTCTTTTAACGGATGTTTTAAAAAATTATACTATGGTCAGGTGCTTTGATCTATTAATATTTTAGCAATTTATATCCGTTGCACAGTTACCCAATACAGTCATATCAAATTTCAGTTTTTCATCTAGTGGATGAATTTTTATTATTCATTTAGATGCTTCGTCTGACTTTTTTTCTAATCTTTGTCCTGCGTTCCAAATCCGAAATTGTTAATTTCGCTGTGATGGCACTGTTTAAGCTGGATAAACTAGTCGACTTGGAAAAATATTAATTTGGAAGCAACCTTTTTACACTCGCATTTAAAATTTTGTCAAAAAACCATCATAGTATCAACTGAAGATTGTCCGAAAACACACAAAAAAATTACCCTGGATACATCAAGGAAAATCGGTCGCAATTATGAGCGTCCTTGATATTTCGAAAAGCAGGAAGTTCCTAAAAATTTATTTATGGCCAAATTTAATTTCATTTGTTTGCGTATCCACAGTTCATTGCTTTTTAGATGAAAAAATGAATCAAAGAGAATTCTGAGGGAAAATGAGCGGCTAAAACCATTGGGAATCGAAGCTAAAGATATACTCGGTAAGACCGCTACTCTACACTGCAATCACATCTCATCAAAGAGCGGGAGGCAAAGCTTCATTAATTACCGACCTTTTTTTTAAGTAATACATTACTGTGCCTGACGAGCAAGGCAATATTTTAAGCTATTAAGTTGAAGGTAAAGGCTTTTCGGCGTCTTTGGACCAGTATCACCTGTTAAAACAATTCTTACGTACATAATGAGAACAGATCACAATACACGAAAAGTAAAACACGGAATATTGGTCATGTTCCCCGCATACTGCCAACGGCCCCCTTCATGTAGAATCCTCCATTCCTCGGGGCTCCAAAGTACTTGAAATTAAGCTCTCATTAATCACGTTGTCAAACTCTTGACTAAAAATAGTGACCTTGATGCTCATCACGGCGTTAACTAAATAAAACATAGCTGGCAAGAAAAAGTGCCTTTGATTTTGCTTCCCATTTTTTTTTCATTAAGAACAAAATATACTATTTCCAAGCCACTAGAAAATATCCCATTGAACTTTGCAAACTTTGGGTAAAATGACTAAAGACTGATTTCCTCTGGGTTGTAAACGTTGAGTTTAATCATGTTCTTTCTAAACCTCATCTTAAAGTCAGTGAAACGTGCGCTGGCACGCGTACACAGAATTTTATTCCTTAGATTTAATTTGTTATCTTCTTGGCATTGTTTAACTACGTGCGTTCCACATATGTTGTAACGTGTTGTGTGTTGGTAACAGCCATCTTAGTAATACAAGTTATTATAAGTTACGTCCGTACTGAATACTATCGATCGTGTGGGTATGATCACTAATTCACTATTGAGTGGAAGTCGAACATAGAATCAGCTGACTTCCGCTAAACTTGTCGAAAGGAGAAGAACGCACTTCATGTTGTAGAAGAGCTTTTTTCTAAATGAAGAAAGCAACAAACAAAAGCAAACAAACAAGCAAAGAAAACTAAGCGGTTGGAAGCTGCGTTGTGCACTTTTTAGATTTTCTTTTACTAGACCACGAACTCAGTTGACGTGCTGTCTTTCCATTAATACCGTAACTCAGTCGAAAGTGCTAATTTACAAAAAGCCGATTAACTGAAACAAGTTGGCTCGTTTATTCAAATCCACAGACTTCCCTGCAACGTCAAGAGAACCTACAAAAATGTTATAAGTTAGATTTTCTAGGAAACTCGTAAGGAAGTGTGACGTGATTCCGTTCTGCTGGGTAAGGGTGGAGCTACACGATTCATTGCCTAATCATAAAGAGGTTTCGAGTTCCGCTGTCGCAGACACCTCAGGATGTGGCTATTTATATAATTAGTGGCTTATGCTCAATCAATCTATGCAAAACATTAACAGCCACTTAAACTTGTGGACGTCTTGTTGCATATAGTTTATCTAAAGTAACACCTCAAGTTGATCACAGTTTGCGTTGGAATTGAACAAGGGCGGACAAATTTTAGACCTCCTGAGGGCGGAACGCATTTTACAAGGTAAGAGACAACTGTTATTAGCTTTACGTTTGCCGATAGAGCAAGTAGTTTGTTACTTTGATTCACTGATCACAGAACTACAAAAGGGGTACAGTTTATTTCGTGGACAGATAGATATAGTAAAGGCTGATAGTTTCTAAAGAAACTGTTTGGCGCTGCGTCGGTGGGGGTAACGAAATAATTTGAATATATCAACAAAGTTGAAATGGTAAATTGGCCACCGTTATGGTTATAAAAGCTGACGTTTCGAGCGTTAGCCCCTCGTCGGAGCGAATAGAGGAATTGTGGGTTGTGCGTGCTTTTAAAGGCAGAAAACGGAGAAAATTTATTAGTGTTTTTCTCGTTGCCATGTTCCCATCAATTACGTAGCTCCATTTTCTGCCTTTAAAGGCACACACAACCCACAATTCCTCCATTCGCTCCGACGAAGGGCTAACGCTCGAAACGTCAGCTTTTATAACAGTAACGGTGGCCAATTTACCATTTCAACTTTGTTGATATATCGATATATATAGTACAGAGGGCGCAGTTGCCAAAACGAAAAACAAATTCTGTTTCCCGTCCTGATTTTTAAAAGTTGAGGGATACTCATTCAGTCATATATAATCATTTATTAATTTCCTTTAGCCAAAATTTTTTTTATAGCACAGTGCTAAGACACGTATTGCCGAACTTAGTTCTTACAGCTCCAGGGCAAGGACAAGGAAATTTTCATTTTCCTTCATTTGAAACAAGTAGATTTCTTTCCGTGTGTATTTAAAATGAACGATCACAAATGAGTCCAAAATTTGGTAAGAACCTCAATGAAACTCTGGCGTGGAGCATGTTTTGAGATCACCCGTAATCTATAATTAGAAAGACATAAAAAATTAAATTGTTTACCGGTTACACTTGAGTTGTTCAGTCTCCTTTCAGAGAGATAGAAATGTAAACTATGTTTGAACATTAAGCAAACTTTCCAACTTTTCAGCCGATGAAAATTAAAGGAAAATATTCTTTTAATCAATGTACCTGGGCAAAATAAAAAATCAACGCAAAAATCAGCTTTTAACCGAACTTGACCAGCTATTCGCCGACTTCTTACAGATGTTGTCTAACTTCATTCACCTGAGAAATTAATAGCTAGACTACTCAGTATAATCCTTAAAATGAATCACTAACATGTTATGGTTATACTTGGATTGTTTAGTCACTTTTCTTTAAAATCAAACTATTTCGAAAGATGAAACATTTTTGCTTTTCTACTTTGAGATTTAATTTAATTTAATTGAGCACCTATCGAATACATTCATTTTGTACCCTGCTTATTCTCCCTTCTCGCGCCTGATTGACATAACCAAAAACACAAGAGAAGAAGCGAAGAACAAAGACGCGAGAAGAAAAAATAAAATCTAAACCAAATGGAAAAAGAAATAAAACAACTGGTGCATTTGTGATGTCAAGAGTCGTGGTCTCACAATTTTATATCGCTCTACCTATTAGAGTCTTTCTGTTTTCTTGAAAATTTAGTACATCGTGTTATTCGAAACACAACTGCAGCTTCAAGTTTTCCAAGTTTCTTTTCTGTAACGTATCTACGTTCAACCTTCATTTTCCAACAACAGAAATCGGGCGGAAGTTTCCATTTTGGTCCCTCGTTAAACAAAACAGGAAGATTTAGGACGGAGTTTAAAGCAACTGAAACGCAACTTTTAAGGAAGTCACGTACTTAAATTTCTAGAAATATCGATCTAGCTGTCAGTATTGCGTTCAATTTCTCAATTCCAAATAAATCTCTCGAGACACCCACTCACGAATCGAATTGCCACATTAAATGTTAGGAAATATTACACCAATTTACATTATCAACGTTTTTAACTCAGTTGATAAGACCAAAATTACCACATTACTCCCTGAGGTAGACTCAAAGAAGCTAGTGATAGGTCAATGAAATACATTGCTGTTGGTAGCTGACAGACGTTCAAGATAGTTTTGGCAAATAAGTATCGATGGGATGTTTTAAAAGTAAGACTCCTGCGAGCAGTTTCCTCAACGCGTTGCGTGACGAGCTTGAGGTATGGCTCAAAAGGAGATCTTGGTTCTTTTAGAAAAGCAAAAATTTTTTTTTAGTCCTACGTTCGTCACTTTTTTTATGTCTATCTTTGCCAAGTGAAAAAATAGCCCGTGCTAGGCCCTCAGTTGATGAAGATAAGCGAAAAAGCAGGTGAGCGAAAGATGGACGGAGAACCGGAAGGAACTTTTTTATCCTGATACAGACCACAAAACTACCTTCAAGGTGGAGACTAAACCAAATTAAAAATATGGAAAAATAAATCACAAAGGAATCATTTTGGTTTAGGATGAAGCAGGATCAACATTATGCAAGAGTTTTTTTACGGGCCGTGATCGGCTGTAACCGCTTCCCAACTTGCTGATTAAAGTAAAAGATGATTTCATTTACCGCCATAAGTGAAACTAGCATATTCGAAAACTTGTAACTCTCTAGATGCCAAGGCCACTAAAAACCAAATTACCTATTCGAAGCAAATTAGTTGAATACGTAAAGAAACAAACGAACCAACAAACAACTCTAGTGTTCACATTACGTGACCTTTTAAACTTTCACAGTTGTGTAGGCTCGCGCGCGTGCCAAACATTTTTTACCCAATTCTACAGAATTCATCGATAGCGAACAGTAGAATAAGGGATGGAAATACGCCCACATTGCTGTAATTATGTCTGAATAGGTAGTGACACAGGTTGCTGAAATAATTTCCTGGTTTCAAACGTGCAAATAACCAAAGGTTTCGCACTTTAAGGATTAAATGGCACACATTCCTGATTGACAAAGAGAATGTTTTCATGAGATAAACATCGTAACGCGATCTTGACTGACGCTGTCATCACATGCCTTCGTTATTCGCGCTACTCTTGATTCAGACATCATTTGATCTTGAAGTATGCGGTTTCGTTCATCGGATCATTCCTGAATTTAATTTAACAACGCAGAATTTTTCTTTACAGTCAATTACCGTCACAGATTTTTTCGCACGCGACAACAATCTTGCTACCGATTGTCCCGTCGCGCTGTCCGCTGTTTGAGAACAAGATCAACTTAAACACCAGGTAAATTGTTGTTACATGCTGTAAAAATCCTCATCTGTGAGTTTAATATAGGGATGAGTTGGGTCTTACGTTCTGCATGATTCAGTCGTGGAGCCACGCGCGGAAACTGCTCTATTTAAACGAATGCTTAACTCGATCAATACTTTAATTCTCGACCATTAAGCAACAGCATCATCAGAAAAGAAGGGTAGATGTAGACTTTCTCAACTGTTTGCGGCACAGTTGTAGGTTACTAATATTTTGCGCAGCTGGAATATCAGTTCTTAATCTTTTTACTCTGTTCAGGCAAGGATTTCCTGTTTTCGTTCCGCAAAGACGATTGACGAAGTTTCTTCAGGAATTTTAACTTTCCCGGCAGTAAATCAGAAGTGATCAAAAAGGTAGATTATCACAACACTGACATGTTTTCTTCCTGTGTTTTCATTGGCGTCAACAGTTCAAAGAGTTTTTAATTTTTTCTTTCTTCGAGTCTTCAATTTCGTCACGTACAAAAAAATTGATTTGGCTCTAGCAAACTATTGCTCGGCAATCGGCAGTTGATCTTTTACATAACGAAAGAAGTTCGACTAAGAATAGAAATTAAAAATCTTCTCTGCGCCTCGAACTTTGGAAACACTGCTGATAAAGCGGTTCTCCGTGTCACAGTTTGTGACCAACTCCCAACAGGTTCGAAACGCTTTGACAAGCTTGACATTAAACCTATAAGTTATCAGTTCTTCGATGGGTATATCAGAGAATTTATCTCTCCCAGCAGAGGAGACAAATTGGCTGACCTCCCAGTTTGAACTAGTCTTCACGAGAAGACACTCGAAATTTAAACAGCCTAATCACCAAAGTACAGCACGCGAAGAGTAACGGGAACAGTATATGCATGGAAAAGCATAAATGAGTCCGACAATGCCATCGAGTAAAGAAATCTATCGAACTTTCTAGAGATTGTTTACACTTTCTCGAAGTAGCTTAAGAAATTTCACGCGTAAACTACTTTCTCGAAAATATTTGGCCTTAAGCTCTCTCTTTGTCAATTCCTTATCAGATCTTAATCTTGTCAATAACGCAGGAGTATCAGTGAATGAATTAAATAGATATCTGTCAACTGAAAGCTCAGTAACGTTATGCTTATTGAGAATTTTATGCATTCCAACCTCTTATTGGGTCATTCTGGCGTCTGTAAGTTTAATCACAGGAAATCGTTTCAATAATAACTTTGAGAATGCTTCTGCAAATTTCTTGGCAAACCCATTCGCCGAGTACTCGTAATTTTTTTGTAGGTGAATATCTCAGATTTTAATTTTCAAAGCTTAAGCCTTAGCCGTCGAATTAATGGTGATATATTAGTTAGATCTAGCAAACAAGAGTAGCAAACAAGGTCAGCTTGATTCACGAAGGGGGGGGGGAGGGATAGGAGGGGAGGGGCAGCTTCTCTCTTAAAAGGACGGTGAGGGCGTTCGATATTTTTTAGGCAGAAAATTGCTGTGATATGGTGCCGCTCAGGTTATCAAATCTGAATTGACGGCCGCTAGAATTTTTGCGTTTCTTTAGGGCCCAAGTTTAGGTGTATGACGATATAAGTATTGTCGTTACAACCAGCTATGATTAGCCTCTGAATATGTTGCTGTTGCTATTGGGCCGCGCTCACAAAATGGGTGTCGAGGGATATTTTTCAGGGTTACCGCAGAGCCGCAGTGGGGATGTACCCCTCCCCCTCCCTCCTTACTTGTCTCTTCAGACTGGCCTCAATGCTACCGCCCACGTTGATCCAGACCGTTGTTTTAAAAAGAGACAAAACAGACTGAACACCTTTAAGAAGGAAGTAAAAATCGTGGTTCTCTCATTTTGGGTCAATGTTTGTAGCAGATTTTATCAACGACACACACATACACACCCACAAAAATATACAAAGAGGAATCGATGCCAAAACGTTTTTCTTATAATTGGACGCGGTAGAACACTCCTTAATTAAGCCTGAAGCCTGACAAACACACGAGGGCGTAGGGAGGGGGGTTGGAGTTCCGGAATGCTTAGGACCCCCCTGCTTATTCAGAAAAAAGAACTAATAAAGGTAACACAACCTGGCTCTAAGAGGCTAATATAGAATCTCCTGCTGGAAAATTATGCGCACGCCCCATAGGCTGGGCAAAAGATTTTTCAAATTCCTAAACGCTTGTCGGAAAAGAGAAATGCGATTTTTGTTAGGTAGTATTAGTAGCTCTAAAAGATGGTTAATCCTATTGCATGCATTTAGTTATTCGAATTCTTCTCTTGTAATAGCAGGAAAGGGTTTAACTGTTAAACCTTTAACAAAGTGGTCTTACCAATATTCTATGTTTAGTTCAGTTGCTTTGTAAAATAACACTAAGACGATTCGTCAGATTTTTCGAAGATCAAAGGCTCAAGCAACCGACAAACTGACTACCTGTTAGCGAACGAAGGGGGTAAGTTTCCATAGCAATATTGGTGTGGCGGGGTCAAGGGCTTAACAAACTAGCCTGAATGGTGCTTGGCAGGCGGCAGTAATGGATAAATTCTCCATTTGTACAACTTGAAGATAAATTCTCTTTGCTTTTCATACTTAACAGAGTCAATGGAGAGAATCTACTTGGCTTTGACACTCAGCTTTGTTACTGCAAACGCAGGTAACTGTTATTATATTGTTTCGAATGAATTCAATAAATAAAAAATAAAAAAAAATTGGAGCACGTATGCCGGAAAATTTTTTCTACAGTTTTGATTACTGGAGAAGTCAGTAACGATGCGAAATTGTTTACAGTCACAAACGTCTGTGTGAACTCAGGTATGACATTCCCAACGGTACGTACAGGATCACAAACACTGGAGTTACGACGTACCCTCACATCCCCAGTAACGTAATACTCTGTTAATCAAAAGCCATTGCATTGAAAATGATATAAATGTAAAAGTTCCAGCTTAGCCATCGGCTGTGAATGTCAAGCAATCCCAAACAAACGGAAAGTTGGAAATTGAGTGCAGAAAACTTTTGACTTTACTTACACTTTTCATTCCGACACAAATTGCACTCGAAATTATATTATCACGCTTGCAAATTTTCTCCGGTAAAACTAGTCTTTAAGATTTCTATATGCTTACATGGCTTCATTTTCGTTTTCAGTCGCTATGTCTGTGGAGACTACTATTAAAGTTAAGCGTACTTTTGCTTTTCTTTCAGTCGCATACCGGCGTCCTCCCGAGATCACAAATTTCCTACAAAAGGATTTAGTCAACCCAGAGGATGTTGAATTTAAAGGATTTAAACTGCCGTGTGGAGCTGCAGGGACGAATATTTCTTGGGCGTGGAAACATAATGATACGGAGATCACATCGTTCAGGCGATCACCGCATTACTCTCTTAATGGAGATGGCACTTTAACTGGCAAATATTTATCTTCCCAACACAGCGGGACTTATCAGTGTATTGTTAAGGATAAGGACACTAAAATTGAAGTATTTAGCAGGAAACTAAAAGTCGCGATTACTGGTAAATCTTTTTAAAAGATGGGCAAACGAGATCAGATCAAGAAAATTAAACAGATCGGATTAGCTATCATGTTACAAAACAGCGTAACACTTGGCTCCTTCTCTTTCCATCCTCTTTGCCTGCATAGCTGGCCTATCTGTTTCTTTTAAATGAAACAGAAAAGTTTCGCAGTCACGTGGCTTGTGCAGTAGTGGAGTTTCATTACCATCCCACCCCCACTGGGTTTGTGCTAACTGGCCACCTCTCTCTTAGTGATCACATTTTACCTTAAATATCTTGGCGCTTGGATATTTCGAAAATCATGCTTCCTCGTTGTTTCTATCGCGGTAGTTTTGTCAAAAGAGAATCTCAATAAGTGAGACTGGCTCATGGTGGAGCAAAGCCAATGCAATACCGGATTACTTTCGACATTTACCTCAAGATTTGCTCTATCTCAGTGAATTTAACTTGTCATTAAATTATTTTACTCCTCTCAATCTTTGTTAGCTCCTGGTGATTTCATCGATAGAGAAAGAAAGAGTGTAAAGGTTGACCTTGGAAAGCCTTTCCGATTTCAGTGCCCCAAACACGCGGCGGGCTTTGGCTCCTCATACGCTTGGGTAAAACCATCAAACATCCACTTGTCCAGGAACGAACGACGAGGAATATCTCCGGACGGGACATTGTTAATCGCTTACCTCACGCAGCAGGATATGGATGAGATTAATTACGATGGCGTAAGATGTCGAATAAGAGCTGGGAACACCTATGAAGATTCTGGAAAATTATTTCTTGTGAAGAATAACCCTCAACAGACAGGTAAAAAATAGGCAAGCACTTGCGTGTATGTGGCTGACGGTAAAAGATGGGCAAGCACTTACGTAAAGTAATTGCTAATGTGCTTTACTGGAAAAGTGGACCGGTCTTGCTTATGATATATAGCAGCTTTCTTTCATTCAGGGAAATCCTTTTACAGAACGTTTGATTTGGAACGTCGAATAGATAATTAGTGGAAAAGAAAATATCCCTTACTTCTTCAATTTGAAATGAAACGATGCGAACGTGTCTCCTTCCTGCTTAGACCCCGGCACTCCTGTTGCTCTGTCTTGGGCCAGTAAACCTGCGGTTGACGAGCTTGCCATTGAGGGACGAAGAAAAATTCTTTACTGTTTCGCAAATGGACGGTGAGTATCGCATGTCAGTTAGTTATGGAAAATGCAAGGCTGAGAAGAGCAAATTGTTTCAGATTAATAGAAGGCTTAAAATTTTCTTGCCACCTGCTAGTTGGTGAAACACTTTAAGACATGCTACATCTTTGTACGAATTGCAGGCCAACTCCAGAAATCACGTGGAAAAAGAATGGGAAGCGGATTGTGCATGGACAGAATTCCTATGAAATTCCTCGCCATTACTTTGGCCACCGTCTAGTTATCACAAATGTGAACAGGGAAAGTCACCAAGATGTGTACACTTGTGAGGCAAACAATTCTCGGGGCAATGTCTACCCCATTGTCCGTTCAATCAATCTGGAGGTAAAAGGTAAACTGTCATCCATTTTATGTCACCTCTGAAACATGTAGAGCCCTTTTCTATCGAGTGACGTAACAACCAAACATAAGGAAGGAAATTGCCATTACGAGGCAATGAGAGCGACCAGGTCATGATTGGTTTTAGTATTGTATCTGATTGGTGGAGTTAGTGGCGCGAATTTTCTTACCCAATCACCGAGCGAAGTAAAGCGAAATCAATGAAATCCCGGATTACTTTCGACACTCAGATGAAAATTGCTCTGAAAGTACTGCTCGGTATAGCTCTCATGTGAATGGTCACACGCTAAAAAGGTTTCACTTGCGGGCTTCTGGGAGAAATCACATTGTGCAACATGAACTAGTACCTTATCGCTTGATAGGTTTTATCTCGTCACACAGTAAATTGGAGTTTTATCCACAACTTTGAGCTCATCACTATATTGTACATTGAGTATCAGCGCAATGCCACGCCTTCTCGGAACCCCTATATCCACACCAAAAGACGTGGAACAGATTTTAAAGATAGTCCATGCTGCCTTTTTTGTTAGTTCCAGCAAGATGGAGTAACAATCCTCCAGCAAGTGAAATCAGCATTATAATTAATAAAAATGCAACTATTGAGTGTAAGGTGGTTGCAGACCCTGAGGCAACAGTTCTGTGGTACAAGAATGGAGCACACTTGCAGTCGTCAAGGTAAACGAGTGAGCTATGACGCAATTATTTTGAGTTTTTTGTCTATTGTTCTACTTTGTTTCTTTCCTTAATTTGGAAACCAAAAACGCGCGTGAAAAGATGATTTCTGTCTAAAGCCACAGAAACCAATACAATGCACGCTCGGGGTAACTTAACTTTTTTCTGCCGCGACTAATGATCATTTAGATGTTTTCGTTCGCATATCGGCAATTTTACAACATCCCAGAAAACAACCAAAATATTTCAACGTACTTTCAGCTCCTTTGAGTTTTGAGGCTTCATGAGGCTGCATGCATTTGTGTCTCACCAGTGATCGTATAATAGTGGATGGAAGCAAATTACACTTCAGACATGTTAATCTGACCGATGAAGGTGTCTACCAATGTGCTGTGGAAAACCAGTACGGTATGATTGTCTCTGCAACCTGGGTTCAAGTGAAAGGTAGGATTAATCAACATATATAGTAATCATTTTAAGTTAACCAATTGGGACAATCATTGAAAGCAAGGACTGACTTTTGATGTTTATATGCATGAAGTCATCATGATAATAGCCAAACAGAACAAAGGGAAAAAACACAAGTAGCCCATGTACCTGCGGCCCCAACAAACGATAGCATTAAAAGCCAACCTCGTTCCCAGGGCGCTTTTCCCTTCAAAGAGGGAACGGGCCAATGTCAGGGCCTTTACCCGCCCGTCCTCCCTTTGAAGGGAAAAGCGCACTGGGAACGAGGTTGCGACAAAAGCCTCTGGCGCAGGAATTGCGAATGACCAAGGCGCAGTAGGTTTTAGTTGCGAATATGATTGGTTCAGAAGATGGGGCAAAGCAAAGTAAAGCAATACTAGCAAAATCCCAGTTTGATGTGGACACTCATTTGAAAGCTACTCTTCAGAGCAAGGAAAAAATCTTACTTCGTGTCTGTTAAATTGCACACCCTACCTGAAGATCAATAATTTAATTTCAAGCACTTTACTTTTTTTCCTCTCAGCCTGGAAACCATCCTTTAACAATCGTCAGTTTGGTCCTTTCCACCTGCTTCAAGGCAGTGAAGGCAGATTACATTGCAACCCAAATGCAGAGCCTCGCCCAAAATTCCAGTGGTTTGTTGATGGAGTTCTGATCTCAGACGAAGCCATTAACAGTCGGTATAGGTTATTGTTGGATGGTACCTTGTTGATAAAGAAAGTCGACAAAGACAAGGATGCAGTAAACTACACGTGCGATGCTGTAAATTTGATGGGCAAGGCTTCTGCATCAACAGTTCCGACGGTGCTGGGTAAAACACTTACAACGTGATTTTCTATGAGCGGTTTGCATAGCCATGTATCGCGATCATGTCTATCAGTGAGAAAGTGTTCATGATGCAAAAGAGATCCCAGATCATTGGAAAGAACATGATGAAACTAACAAGATCTCAGACTGAAACTGTTCTAAAATCTTGCATTTAAACGTCAGATGCTTGAAAATTGGAAAACGTGTATAATTCGTCACACACTTTCCATTTCTGTCATCTAACTCTTTGGTCCAGTAACGACTACTTTTGTTTTAGTTTTGCAACAGTCGATCGAGAATTGCTCTAATATTTTCATATAGATATGTTCTCTTCCATCTGTAAGATGTTCACTTAAACCTCATGGTTTTGAGCCTCTTTCTTTGCGTTTTCGTCACGTTCTAGTTAAACCGGCTTTCGTGACAAGGCCCAGAAATCAAACAGTGCTTGAAAAAGGAACAACCACATTCTACTGCAATGCCAATGGCCGTCCGCTTCCTAACATAACATGGGTCAAAGATGGAATGACAGTTGGTCTCGGGCACACACTGAGGTTTGAAACAACATGGAGGGGACAGTCTGGAAGATACTGGTGCCATGCGCAAAATGGATTGAATTACGTTATCAACGCTAGTGCTTTTCTGAATGTGCAGTGTAAGTATCCTACGTATCCAGGGTTTTAGCCAACCAGGATCGTGACACTGTTATGCAAAGGGCCTATTCGCGCACTTCCAAGGTGGCTCAACGCGTTAGCGTTGGGTCCAGAGGTCTGGGTGAAAGACGCGGCTGGGTTACTCTATTCTGTTCTTGGGAAGAAGCTGTACTCTCACAGGGCCACTTTTCCCCCCGGATTATAAACGGGTACAGGTGAACTGTCAGAGATATCTGATGAAATACCGGGGGAAACCAGCTCCTGTAATGGACTGTCATCCTATCCAGGAGGGTAGTAATACTCAGATTCGTTCATACAACGTAAATCATGAGTCGCAAAGGAAGAGTGGGTCACTAGGCCGGAGTTGTAACACTACCATCGTTTCCTTGATTTTTACAGTTCCATCATATTTTAAAAGTCGGCCAGCTCACCAGTCTGTCCAAGAAGGTGATGAGACAACTTTCCACTGCGGTGCCATGGGCAATCCAAGCCCTAAGATCGCTTGGTTCAAAGACGGGAGATCTGTAGGAACAGGAAACACATTGAGTTTTCTTGCCTTCAGAAATCGCTCTGGAGAATACTGGTGCTCAGCTGATAATGGCTTGGGATTGGCCATCAACGCCAGCGTTCGACTTGATGTACAGAGTAAGTATAAACTGATCGCTTAAGGAACGAATGTTCATCAAAACCAAGATGAAAAAAGGTGTATTATCTCAGACAGTTTCATTATCTTGTGGTTTTAAACCAAGCAGCTAAAGGCAAGTTTTCATGCAATACATGCAGCAACAGGATATAGACGAAATCTCAAGAAGGCCACCTCGCGCATGTGTTGTAAAAGGACTGAGCATATGTTGATGGCAATCATATTTAACCTTAGCAGATACATGCAGGGTGGACGACCAGTTCTTACGGTCCGTTGTTTACCAATCTTAAGGTGACAAATACATCAATCCTCTTTCTATACTTATTTACAGTTAAGCCTCATTTAATCACCACGCCAAAGAACCAATCAATAGCTGAAAACAAGCAAGTTACGTTCCATTGCAATGCCACAGGACATCCAATCCCAGAGATAACATGGACGAAAGATGGGTTGACTGTGGGCACAGGAAGCAAGCTTACCCTAACCGTCTCTCGGGGTGACGCCGGAAGATATTCGTGTACAGCGTACAATGGTGTTAGTGCAGGCGTCAAAGCAAGTGCTTATCTTCGTGTCTTGTGTAAGTAATCACTGGTACAGTTTGCAAATCCGTAGGACACATTCGTCCGTTTTTAAGACAGACAGTCCGATTTCAGACACTTATGTCCGTTTTTGGATCCTCGTGTCTAATTTTGGACGGTAATATCCCATTTTGGACCATTGTTGTCTACTTTGGACAGCAAAATCCGATTTTGGACCATTGTTGTCTACCTTGGACAGCAACATCCAATTTCTGGCTCTTGTTTTCCTTTATCAACGACTTTGTCCGATTTTGGACATTTGTCACCATTTTCGGACGGTATCCCTTTTGTAGATTTCGCCATCGGAACCCTCCGTTCCTCCAGGGAAGCCTTTTTTCGTGACTGGTATATTTTATTATATCTGAACAATGCCACTTCAAGAATATTACACAGATATTTCCCAGTATTTAGTGACCACTTTTAATTCCATCGTATCTTGGAGCAAATATCTTATTTTCCGTTTTTGTTTCTTAGATGTACCCTCTCCACCAGTTAATGTCACAATAACAGACTGTAAAGATTGGAGAGTGAAACTTCACTGGGTACCAAGCCCTTCAATTGCTGCTCCAGTCACGCATTATCTAATTGAGCAGGAGTCTAGTCAGGACCCTGTGGTATTCGGCTTACTGCACAACGTTAGCAAACCAGATGCCACGGAAGCGACCTTCAACGTAAGTAAAGATACTTCGCCTCGTTTCCGCATCAGAGCAGTTAACAATGTCGGAGAAAGTCTACCCAGTTCACCGGTTGAAACAACTTGCCAGGGGACTGAGACTGACTTTGGTATGTATGCCTCGAAATAAAGATCATAGATACCACTAGGGGGGATGTTGTTAACAAATTAAAGGGTGTGATTATTGTTCAACTTCTGTTTTGTCAACGCGCAGTTTTCTCTTTTCTTCAAATCCCGACGAGTCCAGAATTTTCATCCATGATAATTTCTTACATCCTCTATCAGTCTTATTCAATGCAATTTTTCAATCCATCAAATAAGATATCATTTCGAGGCGTTTTTCGATTAAATTTAGCAATTTTCCTTTGAGTATTGAAGACAATGTGGATTGCATACATTTTTCCCTAATCCACTCTGTGGTTGGTGTAAAATTTCACCCTCTTAGCCAATCAGATGCAAATTAAAATTAGCTACGACAAAGAGTGCGTTTTCCAGGATTGACAAAGATAAAATGTTTCCCTTTTTTCTGAATGTTTACACTATGGTTTGTTTCTTCAGGTGCACGCCAGCCAGAGGTCACACAGAGCCCCATCTACCAAAAGGCGTGGTTTCTGACTATGGTAGCCCTCGTTGCCTATGTTGTTCTGATCTCAGCGCTTGCTATGCTTTTCATAAGTTACTACAAGGGAAAAGGGAAAAAATACGAAGGTAATACAGCGAGAAACAAGTGCAGCGAGATCAAGCGTTACGAACAGCACACGTGTGGAGAGAAAACAAAATATTGTAACGTAACGTATGCTAACGTTATGTATTGTAACGTAACGTATGACGACGTAACTTATGATAACGTCACATGTGGTAATTTAACTTATTGAGTAGTCAGTATCTGAGCTTAAACGTACTTACGATGGCAATAATTTGATATTACTTAGCCAGAGTTTGCAGGGAATGTTTAAGGAAGCTTAGGGAACTCTGTAGGTAGACTCAAAATAAAGCTGAACCGCCTTACTTTCCAACCTCGTTCCCAGGGCCTTTCCCGCCCCACCCCCAACAAAGGGAAAAGGCCCTGGGAACGAGGTTGCCTTACTTTCGTATCTCAGCGGAGACCAGTGTTCTCCTTTCTTTTAGGCACGACACGTAAGAAATTTTCCAACCTGTAGAGCAGTCCTTTTACCAATTGAGTTTTCAAGAATTCCAAGCGCTTTTGACGATAATGAGCGTTAGAACAGGCAGTAAATTTTAATGGTTATCACCTGAAAAGGAGAACACTGCAAGAAATTCATCGCTATCTTTGTGACCTTACCCTTCACTCGAACACGCTGGCTAGTTTTCTATTTCAATCACCTTCAGCATCGTCAAATGAACGATTTATTCTTTTCGTGTATGTTTGAGGTACGCTTAGAGGAAGTCACTTTAAAAATGTATGATTTGACAACTCACCCAGATGCGAAGAACTTTGACCGTGCCTTTTTTTATACCAACTGCATTTCTGACATGTCTTACTTGTTTGTTTGTTTGTTTGTTTGTGTAGTTGGAAAACGCGAACGAAAACGCGGATACAGCGAGCAGGCAAAGCAATCAGAGGAAAACGTTGAAGAAGAGGAGACAAACAACTTGGTGGGGAACGCCGAAAAGACACCACTGTATGTATTTACACCCTAACATCAGTATGCATATTCTCTATACTGTTCTCCACACATTTCCTAAGGTGCTGACAAGGAGAATTTAGTTAACAATCAAGAGATTCTTAACTGAGTTGGTGATCATTTCCGTTATTCTCCTGACCTTCATGTGTGATTCAGGGGTGATATTGTTAAGAGAAATTAGATGCTGGTCACTTTTAGGAGTCAAAGGGCTAAAAAAATTGATTCCCAAAACTATGACGCAGTTAAATTAAACTTTTTAAAATTAAACTTTGAAAATTCCATTAATTGTTCTGAGGGCTTGTCCCAAGTGGTGTGGGGGTTAGGTGAATCACATGCTTCGGCGCGCCGGGTTACAAAGTTTCAAGTTGTTTTTTACTTCTTGCGTGTTGGGCACAGTTAATATTGAGCAAAGCCGCCTGGTCGAGTTGGATTCCCGTATTAAATATTATTGTGATCATTGTGTTATCTGTGAAAATCAATTAAGAAAAGGAAGGATTTGAAGGGGGAGGCGAGGGGTGGATCTTGACTCATATTCCATCGATCCAACAGTGTGATCCTCAAAGTTTTATAAAAGGACAGCTGCAGAAAGTAAGGCGTGATAAAAGTATATAGCATCGGGATTCAACGGTACTTGCATTGCGCTCCCCACTGGGTACCAGTTGGGCATTTTTCTGGTCGTAATTTGTATAAACATCGGGCTGACCGTTTCTTGTTTTTGTTTGTTTGTTTGTTTGTTTGTTTTTTTAGCGAGAGAAGACAGAATCGCAACTCAAGGCCGGTCTCCAATTCAATCAGCTTACTTGAGTTGCAATTCAGGGAAGACGGCTCCTTTACAGAGGAATACGGCGGGGACGATGAACTGTTACATGGAACTTTTGTTTGAGAGCCGCTATAGACTAGACCAAAATGTGTCGCACTGAGTGTCGTGCCTGAGAAGATGATTACGTGACGTGACTAACGGGAAAGAATTGTACCTCTTCTGAGTCCTCATAAAATAGTGTTGCGTTACCATCAATTAGAATGTTAATGTGACTACCCGCAAAAGTTGTACTTAGTTGTTCTCTTCGGGGCTTATTCGTACTATCAACGGACGATTGTTGATGAAGTATTACGAATCAAATGGATTTGAAGTAAAAAAGGGTAAAAGTAGAGTTTAAATTATTGAAATATTGCTTCGAAAGTTGTTACGCAGAGAAACTTAAAAAATGAGTTTCAACATCCATGTTTCCATATTTAACTGAATATTTGCGGATTGATTCATAGATGAATGAAAGTCATTGTCAAGTTGAAACATTTTACTCTGACAGGTTAATATTGCGAATTTAAATTGGAACATCTTGAGGTAGAAATGAAAAAAGTATTTTAGGCTGTCACAAATTATGAAAAAATCGAGAAAGTAACACTGGTAAATAAAAGGCTCTTGTTAAGTAACGTATAAATAAACGGAGAAGTGATTCCCACGTCCTAATATTTGAGTCTAAAGTCCATTAGGGCGAGTCAGCTTACCTGAGAAAAATTATCTTCGTCGAGTCTATAGAAAGATTTAGCTCCGCGTTTACGTGAAACGTGAACAGCAAGGGTGACCACGCGACCTTGTTTTTCGCGCCATTTTTCACGTTCGCCGGTTGCGGTTTGCTGTTTCCACGTGAAAGTAACCAGTTTCGCGTTTGCTTTGTAAGTAAGATTTTCTTCACTTTTCCCCTCACAGAGTAGACGTTAAGGGCACCAAATCTATTTCTTGTAAGTCATACAAGGGCGCCTTCAAATTCACTATGACGTGAGCTCACGAGAAGCTAAAGCAGCACGGTTCACGCTAATTTACTTAAAAGGGCAAACTGACGTTTGTCGTTTCACTTCAACGCGGTGCTAAATTTCCCTCATGAGGTGGGACGCACGTTTGTTAAGGTTAGCATGTTTAAATTGAATTTGAAAGGAACAAACAGGGCTGTTTAACGTTGAATTGCACATAAATTTAATAAGTAAAGAGTTTGTTTATGTTTTATCTATTGTTTACGAAATACCAGTTGATTTTATAGGGTAAACTGTTTTAAACAGACATAAGTACATCTGACAAAAATATCCAAGGAAACTTTGAGTGTTGGGATGTCGTAGTTCATAACTGACAACAGTTGGATTAATAAGTTGGCTAATAATCGCGAAAGGAAGAATAGTTACCTGAAATAGATCAATAAAGAAAATCTAACGTTACAAACCACACACATTAAAACTTTGTCTTCTCGTATATTACTTGTAATATCCTTTTCGCAACTATTGTACTTTAAATAATTCCCGCCAGGCGCTCTTTTGCCAGGTGACCGAGCCTTTAACAATAACGCGCGACATGATTGGCCGATATATAGGAAAACGTTTCCGCGTTTACATCGCGAAGATATGAAGATGTGCACTTAATAAATGTTTGAAAAGAAAAGGAATAAGTTGTTAAGATTAAAAATCTCTCTCTACTGCGCGTCGATCCTTCCGAAAATTCTCCAGTTCTGGCGGAAGGTTCAACTCCCGCGTTCAAAACGCGAGATCTTGTTTGCTAAATGTTGTCTAGTATCCAGACCTCACTCGATAATGTCAGGTTGCTCTTGGAGATTGTTTTTGTTTCTTAGCACAAAGACCGCCTGTTGATCATGAGGGGACTAATTGTCTCTTGATAAAGTATTTTGTGAACGTCTTGTCAATAATTCTCATTCAGAGAAAAAGAAACAGTGAGACAGTTTTCATTAGCTCTTAATTTGTCGCGATCGATGCCAACACTACGCGACGGCTCCAGTCTGAGCACGGCGAGAAGTGAAACCGCTCGACGTCAAGTCATTCGACCCTTCGTGTGCTCAACTTTTAAGGATTTCCACGCGGAACGTGACTTCTTGCAAGAGAAAATATTCCCTGAGCTAAACAAGATATGTAATGAGCGTGGTACGTCTTTTATTCCCGTTGATTTGCGCTGGAATAAGAGTCAATCTCAGCAAAACAGTGAACATGTTCTACGCTTATGTTTAGACAGTCTCGGGCGATGTGCTCCGTTTTTTATCTGCTTGTTAGGAGACAGATACGGAGTTCATAGGGCTGCGGAGTCTGAAGTGAAAGATCCTGCTTCGGAAGAATGGCTGGACAAGAACTTTGAGACAGCTGCTGCTTGTGGATATGAATGGTTACTTGAAGAAGACAACAGGTACAAGATCTGATGAGTATAATTCTCTCTTAAGCCTTCATACAATTCCTTGTGAATCAGTTTAGAGAATTCAGCTCGAAAGTTTGTTTTTAAGTCTTCTTACTTTATTGCTGACTGATCTGCTAGGTAGGAGAGGGCTGAATATTTATCCATGAAGGCAGTTGAAGGTTGAGTATTGATCAAAATGTAGTTTCTCTTCATTGGGTTTCACCAGAAGTAAGAGTGTAGCTAGGGAGATAAAACTTTTTGAGCAGTTTTATGTCTAAGCGACAGAGCTGATTAATGAAATGCTAAGTCAGAGGGTATGCAGTCAACAATGCAGGCTCAAGTGTCCTAGGTCTAAAATTTAGCGAAAAATAATAAGGGGTGACCTTTAAAAGCAAGGAACTATGTTCTTGTTGAAGGCATTTTCCTATTTCCTGAGGTTTTAAGGAGTGAATTAATCTTTGAAAATTTTTAGGGGGTGTACCAAATCTTTGGAGGTTGTTCTGTAAAAGAAAAGCAGCAAGGAAAACGACGCCTCGAAGCAACAGAATAGGAAATCAACTATACGAATGACACAAAATCTGTGTTTCCGCTGCAAAACCTAGCACATGCATATACGTTATTCAGCTCTGTCTGTCTGAGCCCCTCTACAATTAACGTTTAGCCCTATCTGTGGCATAGATATTTTGAGGAAATTTCTCCATCTGCAGTCTTTGCAAAGAGTACAAACTTTACTCCTTATCTAAATCTAAAAATGAAGAAAGATCATGAGACATACACTTTGGAGTATTCAACTTTGTATTTTTGCAACTGAACTGAGATCTCTTTATTTGAAGATATAACAGCATTACTGAGTTGGAAATTGTACAAGCATCCTTCCGCAAGAAATATGATTATGGTTACTTCTATTTCCGCAACTCCACCCATGTGGAGGAAAAGCTTCAGGACATTACTCCAAACCAAAAAGAAAGTGTTCTGTCAATCTACAAGCCAGAGAGTGAATATGCTGCAAGGAAACTGAGAGAACTCAAACAACAGACCATTGATACAGGTTTGTGATGTCAGTATTTTACTACTGTAATGTTGACTGACACAGGTACATGCCAAATTGTACCTCTTGTCCTCCTCTGTAGCTGGTTTGGATTGGTTCCTGCTATCAAAAATATAATAATAACAAGGGTAGATGTAGAGGAGGGGTTGTGGGGATGTGCAGTCTGCATGTACCTATCTACAAAATCAAATGTACAGTAGGTGAGAGGGTGTGTACATATATATCATGATTATGAGAAAATTATCCAAGAGTCATAATGATTGATTATTCTCATACCTTAACACCTTTCTGTGTAATGTCACTGTCCAAGTTTTACAAACTTCACATGTAATGCAAACTTTTTGTGAAGTTAGAGGTGAGCAGGCTTGTACAGAAGCTCTGAGAGGGGTGTTGGCCTAGACCCCTCAAAGCTCACTATATTTACCAACTCAAATCACACTCTTAGACTCCTCTTGTTATATATCAGCAATAATGACGGCCTACTTACAGGCCACAAACCGAATACCTTGATGAAGCTTAAAATTGTATTTTAAAACTGAGGTGTCTATCACTGTTAGTGTTGCAGTTCTCCTAGTCACTAGGGACCTTAAGAAACCACGATGGTGACACCAAGGATGACTTTGATTAAAAAATGAATTTCTACTCTTAGTTAGAATTTCAAAAATGGCTGCAGGAGCTTACTGTCTCATACAGCGCCACAGCTCAACTTCAGCATGACGTATAAAGTAGCCGTTGAGTTCCAAATGGAAATTAAAATAATTTGCCGTCATGGTTTCGGTTTGCAGACGACGCAAATTTTGGCCATTTCACGTTGTTGTTTTGCATAGGACGGCTAAGAAATGTACAAAGTTTCAAAACGCAGGTGCTGAGCTATTGTTCTGCCAATTAGATCTCTTGTTTTTCCACGTCCTCGTTGCCATCGTGGTTTCTTAAGGTCCCTACTGTGTGCTACAGAGATGTTGTAAGCCTTGCTAGTTACTCAAATCAATGAACACGAATCAAAACTATAACAAAATTCTCAAACATGATTTCTCATCTCCAGCTCAATTTGAGCACTAATAGGACAGTGTATGCCTCATGCTTGTAATTGGACAGTGTAATAGGACATGTGAAGGGACAATTAGCACCAATGCCTTTGCAAGTGGATAGAACATCAGGGGCGGATCCAGTAATTTTTGATTGGGGGATCCAAACTTTGGTTCAGAAAGGACTGTTGGACTTTTGAGGCAAATTACTTCTCCCTACACCCCCCACACCCCCTCCTACCAGTCGCGGTTGCACGTAATAATTCCTTGGCCGCTTCAGTACCGTCTACTTGGATTCATTAAAAACATCAGCCAGTTAAAAAGTGATATACGATCCTGTCGATGTAAGAATTTTCAGTTTCAAAGTTGTAAGCGTCAGGTCTGTTGGGGGGGATCCGGACCCCCCCCTGGATCCGCCACTGAACATGTCACCTTTGTTCACTGTTGTCATGCATTTGGCCAAGTTAACTTTACTTTATTTAACGTATGACCGATGTCTGCTTTCTTTCTCAAATTTTGACATAGTTTTGACTCATTGGTAACAGGTCTTTGTTTTGTCCAATTCTTTCTGTAGTCATACTAGCAATAAACAGATTAGACTCGCACTTCAGGGTCGTCCGATTTTGTAAATCACTTGTATGATTACAGACCAAATTGGACTTCACTCAGTCCTTTTACCAATAATTAATATTAATAAATATTTTTAATCCATCAGAGTTGCCTGTACATCACTTCACAACTCTGGAAGAGCTGGGTGATCTGCTAA